CGCGCCGCGGCCGGCCGGGTGCCGGGTTCATGCAGTCCAGCTCGCCGGGCGCGGCCCCTGGCGTGGGCGCAGGGCGGTTGAAGAAGAGGCTGCGCTTGGGGCGCTTCAGGAAGAGCGCGAGGCCCAGGCTGAAGAGGAGGAAGGCCAGGGAGATGTAGTTGAGTGTGGGGAAGGAGATACCGCCCGCGGTGACGAGCAGCTGGCCCAGCACGGAGCTGATGAAGACGCCCAGCAGCACGGCGGCGCGCGAGTAGCTGGCCATGCGCTGGTAGCGCGCGGGGCGCACAAGGGAGAAGATGTAGGAGGAGTAGGCGATGCGTGCAGCCATGGTGATGCTATAGAAGAGCTCCATGACCTGCATGTGCAGCACCGAGCGGCCCAGTAGTAACAGCAGCCACACGGACACGAAGCTCAGGCCCTGCAGCACCAGCACTGGCTTGTAGCGCAGGTAGTCGGTGAGGAGAAAGACGGGCACCAGCACCACCATGTAGGAGTAGGACAGCACCGGCGTGATCTCGTTGGTGACCTGCGGACGGGCAGGCGCCCCACGTCGGTGACCAGAGTCATCACTGCCAACTGCGCACCCGCCACCTCCCTGCGGCCACAGTGCACACACGCCTCCCTTCCCCAAGATTCCCCATCCCATCTCGTCCTCTCCTGTGAACACACGCAGCCGCTCAACAAGAGCGAGGAATTGTCACCTGTAGAAAGCTGGCAACGAGCATGGAAATTATTATTAACTACATATTAGGTCATGTTAATCTAGCCCTATCTATTCTCAATGCAATAAAAGTACGAGTTGACCTCATCTCACATCTGACATCATGGAAAGTGGAGCCGTAACCAACACACTCACACCAACACAAGCCACGTCAGCCCTGACAGGGGGACAGGCAAAAGCAAGAGACTATCAGATAAACAGGCCAGGACGGTCAAGAAGGAGTCCACAGGACGGACGACACAGAACACAGGAGGGAGGACCCGAAGAAGAGAAAACAAAGAGAAGAGGAGCACGGGCAAAGGACCACAGGAGGGGAGCAGGCAGCCTCTGTGGGCACGGAGCACTCCCCACCCTCACACCTGTCCCTCAAGGAAGGTCTTTATGGCCAGTCTTTGTCCCAGGGAGACGGATGTGGGAGTCACCCTGTGCCTGGAGTCTCTCCCCAGGCCCTTGTGGGTTTCCAGCAGGTGGCCCTGCCTGGGGACCCACCAGACCCCACCTCAGATCTGCCAGGGGTCAGCACCAGGTAAGCCATCTGGGGCTTGCTAAGCTGAGAGGCCAAAGCCTCCCCCAAGTCCCAAGTGACTCATACTAGTAACCCCGACTCAGATCTGGCCACCAGCAGTCCCATGTCCCTACCTGTGCATGGCCCCAGGTGACCCACAGCCAGCAGCACTTTACAGATGGAAAACTGAGGGCCCAGGACTGAGCCCTGTGTCAGTACATTGGGGGCTGCACTGAGCCACAGCCCCTCGCCCAGGAGCTTCCTCAGCACTCCTGTCTGGTATGCCCAAGATGTGCTGCCACATGTACCCAGGGTCTGGCTGCCACCATCACGGGCAGCTGGTGAACAGGACCCCAGATTTGGGCTTGGGGGGACTGGCAAGTTGAGAAGCCTCCATGGGGCTCGGAGGGAGGTTGTTGGGAGAACCCAGCCTGGGACAACTGGGCTCGCCAACGGCAGTGGTCCCCGCCTGGTTGCTCCCTCCTGAACCTGCATCCCCGGAAGCCACGGCTGAGCCCCAAGGTGTGCCACAGTGTTCTGCGGCAAGCCCACCACCAAGGCTCCATGGTTCCAGCAGCACGGGGCACTGACAATCCCTCCAGTGCTGTTCTGTTCACATCAGGACAATCCGAGACATCCTTAGTGCAGGTCAGGCCCCAAGAGGCTGAATATCCCATGGTGGGTCGTGGCAGCCTCAGGGCCCGGCTCCAGAGGTCTGCATTCTGTTTCTAGTAGGATCCTGGAACACCATGGCCCTTTGTTGATGAGACCTCGTGGCTGTTTGCTCAGCTGGGGAGGAGCCAGCCCGGGGAGCCCCAATCACCATGGCCCTTTGTTGATGAGACCTCGTGGCTGTTTGCTCAGCTGGGGAGGAGCCAGCCCAGGGAGCCCCAATGGGATGGCCAGGTGCAGACTCCTGCTGACTCGGAAAGAAGCAGCTCAGAAGCATGAGCCCTCCTTGAACCTCAGGGTCCCCCCACCCCTCAACACAGGGACTGCTGTGCCATGCAGCCCAGCCCCCACAGCTGGCACAGGTCTGAGCCAGCAGGTGCCCAAGCAGGAGGCAGGGCCTGGCTCACCTTCCCTGGAGAAGGGTGGCCATGGGGCTCTCAGGAGCCTCACCCCTTACCTGAACTGATGGACTCCACCCTATTTACGCCTCAAAACAAGAACTGCATATGCATGTGTCTCCCATGGGCACCTCCCAGTCTCATCCTAGGCTCCAGTTGCAAGGCTCTCCCCCAGACCACAGGTTGGGGTGCAGCCACATGTCACCAACATAGATGCTCGAGCCACAAACACAATCCCGCTCCTTCCTCTCCCCACCCCACACCTTCTCTGTGTCCCCTGCTCTACTTTCCTGACTTGGCAGGTGGCTCTGCACAGGGTTGTAACCTGTGTCCCACTTGGAAGGCTGTTGGGCACGGGGTGCCCACAAAGGTCCCAGGGGAAGGTGGCATCTTTCAGGTAGCTACAGCTCTGACAAGAGGACAACCTTCTACTGGCCTGAGCCTGTGTTGCTGATGCTTTGGGTCGGATCTAGGCTGAATGGGCAGGGTGCAGGGAACAGAGCCCAAACCTAGATCCCACCGGCCTCAGGCAGCTTCTCTGAAGGGGAGGAAGGAAATCCCAGGGCAGCTGGGCAAGCAGGCACAGGCCTGCGTGGGGTCAACAGGTCACCTGACATGCTGTGACAGGGACTGACTGATCACCACTGAGCCCCATGTTGGGGCAGGGGCATCGGCCATGGGTCAGAAAGGACTGCTGTGTGCAGGGTCCTGGGCAGGGGCTCTCCATGGGGGTGGGGGCGCTGCATGTCACACTGCACAGCACAGTTCCAAGGGGTCATAGCCTGAACACGCCAAGCAATCCCTCACAGGAACATCTTCAAGACTTAGGGCGGGGAAAGGGCTTCAAAGATAACACTCAAAGCATAAACCATGAAGGGGATTTGCATAATTAAAAATGACTCTTGGAAAAAAAACACAGGGAGCAGTATGCCTTATGCACAGTCAGCCCAATCTCAAAGGCACTGAGATTCCTACAAGGCAGTAAGAAAGGTAACCAGTCCCAAAGAGAACACCCGCCGGCCGCAGGAGAAATGGGGAGAACGCAGAGCAAAGGGTATGCTCCCCACAGCTCAGGGGCCGGTGCTCAGCAGGCCACACGCAGGCTGGAAGAAGGATGCAGGAGGCCTGTTGCACACCATGGATGGAGCAGAAATCATACCAGAAAGTGAGCCAGAAACACCAGCCCAGGTCAGCTGTGTCCAGGGCCTCGCACATCCCGAGGATCTAGAACATTCCCTGCACCCCAAGCCCAAGGATTCTACCACATTTCCCAAACCCAATGCATCCCCTGCAGTGGTGAAAAGCTAGAAACTACCCACTCACCCCCAGTGAAGCACTGGGTAAAGGCTTTGTGGTTCAGTCCCACAGACACAGCTTAGGTAAGTAAGATCAGCCCTGGATCTATGTGGACAAATCTCCCACGTCTAACTGGGCAGGAAGGCAAGTTGCAAAAGATGTGTCCCAATACACCATTTACAGGAACTTCGGGACATAAGCCAGCAAGCACAGGGGCTGAGGCCGGGGACCCCATCACGTGGCAGTGGGCAGCACCCACCTGCATCTGTCATCCTTCTGACAACACTCAAAGCCTGGTGGAATGGCTTTATTTCTGGAATCTACTTTTTAATCACTTACTGTGCAACACAAGAGGGCATGCACGTGGAGTTTGTAACATTTTGCTGCAGAGACTTCTCTTGTTATTTTAACAGAAGCTTCACTGGTATGCTTATTGCCATAAATAACCTCAACGGCGGGAAGTGGCCCTCTGTTAAGAGCAGAGACACCGTCTGCCTAGTCAGTGAGTGAGCGAAGTGAGGGGCCAACCCACCAGGGGCGGAAAGTGCTGCCATGAGGGGACATGAAGACAACCCCGGGCTGCTGCCCCAGCCCCGCCACTGGTGGGTGGAGGCAGGGCGACCTCCAGCCTTGCCTGGAAGGTGACCCAGCTCTGTGGTCAGTGCTCAGCGCCAGCTGTGGGACCAGAAACAATCACACATGTGCAGAGCTTTGAGCCCTGGGCAGGCAGTCAAGGGCAGCACCTCCACTGTTCCAGGAGGCCACTCCTCATATGCATGGTGAGGCCATCTGATTTATCAAGTCTAGGGTCTGCAAAGGGTAGAGACCATTCTCATGGCCAGAGAGGCAGGGGCTTCGCTGAGAAACCCAGGGTCAGGTCCAGCGATAGCAACGTGGGTGCATAGGCTAGGTGCCACGATGGGGCAATGGAGGCTGGAGACATCAGGCATGACGAGTGTGGAGGAGAGGTGACCTGAGCTGGGATGGTGGCTTGTGGAGATGCCTTTCACCAACCAATGGCCTCCATACTCCTTTTGTTTGGTTGTGTTTTACGTAGGATACACTAAAAGTTCCAGAAGGGAACTACTTCCCAGCCTTTTGCTGCTTCCATCCTACATACGGACTTAGGGACTCACATCTGGGCACACACTTACTAATAAGATTACAGTAAGATCCTTTGTCCCTGTGGCTGAGAAAAGAAAAATTCCTTCAGTAATCTCCTTAGGCAAACAGTTGCTAAGTCCCTGCTGGAGGCAGGTACCCAGCAGGGCTGGATGTGGCTGGACACGGCCTTTCTCATCAGGTGTCAGAAAAGCCGGCCTGGCTGGTGGGGGTGGGCGGGGAGGCAGCACTCCTCGTGTGTGCTCTGCCCTCAGACACCCAAAGCACATATGGCTCCCTCTCTGCAGGACCTGAGGTCTCTTTCTACCCAGTCTGTTCCTCCACCTAACGGTGCCCACTGCACTGGATGCAGGGTGCAGGATCCAGCCAGTTCCCTCCAAGACCCCTGTAATCTCACGCAGCCACTTAGCTTCTCCCGCCTCAGTTGCTGTGTGTCAAACAGGAGAGCAGCCCCCACCCTGAGATGCTGCTCCCCTGCCCACCTGCCAACGGCCCCCGCACCCACATACCTGCTCCTTCGTGAAGTTCTTGTCGGGCCCCAGAAGGTAGGGTGTGATGAAGCTCTCGCCAGGCCGCATTTGCGCCATGAAGCCGTAGAAGCAGAGGTAGAACACCAGGCAGCGCCAGGACCGGAGCTCGTGGCCTAGCTCGGCCTCCACGGGCACCTGCTTCTCCACTGCCTGGCCAGAGGGCACCATGCTGCCCAGGTCCACGAGTGACCCTGGAGGGGGTGAAGATGACGCTGTACCTGGAAGGAAGAGTGCAAAGTCGGAGCAGCTCAGCAAACCGCTGTAGGCACCTCCCGCCTCCCCAGACAGGAGCTCGGTGGTTGGGCTCTGCCCCTGTGTCATCCAGTTACATCAGACGTCAGCCCCAGACCAGTGTCCTCAGCTTGGACTGCCAACCTGAGAATCCCCAGACCCTGTATCAGTCTGGAAACCCAGCACCCCCCAGACCAGGCTGTCACACCTCCAGGGGTCTCGAAGGCTCGTGGAAGCTTCCGGCCACGAAGGGCCAAATTAACTTAATTAACTTACTTCATTAACTGCATTAGTAACTTTTAGAACTCAGGGTTTGGGGCACCCAGACTCATTTCAAGTGCTCTGTGGCACATGTGGCTGCAGGTGCGGGCACCTCCCTCACCTGACAGGCTCTGCAGTGCTGAATGCAAGACAGCGTGGAGTGAGCACAGGTAGGACAAGTCCTGTGGGAAGCCAGGCACCCTCCTGCCACTCCCACAATCAGCTGGGCACAGGCCTCAAGCCAACAGCCCACGAGGGAGCAATGTCCCCGCTGGCCTCCAAGGCTGGATCCAGCACGCAGCAGCAAGAGGGCACTGCAGCAGGGAGGGGCAGGGAGAGAAGCAGGCGTCCTGGAGTAGCCAGGGGTGAAGCAAGGTGTGGGAAGGCACCACAGGGGACAGGGCAGAGGTGGGAGGTTCCCCTGAAGAGAAGCACCCGGCATGGGAGCAATGAGGCAGCTCCAACACATTCTGGATGGAGTACCCAGATGACAGGTGTCCAAGTCCAGCTGCAGGTGGGGCCCATCCAGCCCGCCATCCCCAAGGCTGGCCTCTCCCCACGTGGGCCCAGGGGCATTTTGGGTGGTGCCAGGGCACCGTGAGGACTTTGTCTTTTCCAGTATTTTTCTGTCTTCCTGATTCTGTCCAGGAGAAGCATACCTCAGGTACTGCAAATCATCCTTTCTAATGCAGAAGGGCATCAAGAATCTTATCTACTTATCCAAATACACAACCATTCTGCTGTTTATTTTCACTTCCACGGCTCTATATGCTGAGGGATGCTGGTTTTCTATTTAAGGCATTGATTTGAAGTTCCTTTTTAAGTAAATCAAAAAGCAAGCTGCCCTAAAGAAACATGTCAGGCACAGAAGGTGCTCATGCTAAGCCGACCCAGCAACAATCAGACCTGTCCTGCTGCTCCCAGATGCCCTCCACTCCTAGAGGCCAGGCCTGGTGGGTTCCATTTCGAAGGGCCACCCATTCCTGAGGTGGGTGAGGACACGTTGGGTGCAGAGGGCTGTGTGGATAGTCGCACAGAGGGGGTGGGGCCATGCTGTGATCGCCCGTTCCCTCTGCCCTGGGCTGACAACTCTTCCTCTCTGCACAGCCTGCTCAGAAAGGGTACCTGCAGAGGGTCTGGATTTGGGGAGAATCCCCTCCAATCCTCAAGCAGGGAGCACAAAAAGCTCCCTAGATGTGGGGCAAGGGTCCCTGAGAAAAAGCCACCCCAGATTCCCAGCACTTTGTCCTCTGGGTTCAGGGACCACTCAGGCTGGAAGTGCTCCCTGAACCAACCCCCCCACACAACACAGGCCCAGGAAAGAGAGGTGACCTGCAGGGACGGGCCATGGCGTGGTAAGGTGGTGAGACTCCTCCCAGGCCTGTAAGGCAAAGCACTCATAACTGTCAGGATTGTCGCAGGATTCTGCCTTCTAAGTCCCCACAGATCCATTTCTGTTACACGCAGGAGTAACAGCAGTGAAAGCCCACAAGAAGCAGGACTCGGGGCTTATCTGTGGGGGCTACAAGGAAGGGGAGGGGATGACCGCGAAGAGGCTGCGAACAATGGGGGGTGGGGGACAAGAGTGGCCCAGGAAGTCACAAGAAGCCACAGGGAGTTCCAGGGCCCAGGAACAGTCTGACGTTCTCAAAGGGCTAGAGTGAAAACAAGCAGCTCGGCGGGAGCTTTGACACGGCCCCTCCTCTGCACGGCAGGAACCGCCCTGGGAACCAAGCACAGGCCAGCTGCGCGGCTGGGACAAGCACCGAGGCTGCTTTCTTGGCCTCGTTCTTCCAAACCTCCCGGAGCTTGTGGCAACAGGTGGAAGACGTTCAGAGCCAGGAAGGGTTGGCCCTCACAGGGACCCTCATGCCCAGACTGGCCATGGGCACGCCATGGGCAAAGCTGAACACACTTTGGAGAACACCCCCATGAAGGACCCCACTTCAGCTCCGGGACTCCCCCTGAAGCCCACTTTCCCACTCCAAGGCAAGGTTAGCAGGCGCGGGCTCCCTGGACGCCTGGAGCAGCTGTGCCCTCACCACAACTAAGGCACCCCAGCCAAGGTGAGCAGTCTAGAGTTTAATCAACTCAGTCCAGGGCCCCAGGGGCCGGGTCCCCCACCCACGGCATGCCCAGAAGCCCCCAGGACTTGGCACCCTGTCCTGAAAGGCACCTGTTTGGAAGCAGCCCTGAAGCCGCCTCCTGCGAGCTCCTCCCCATTCTTCCCAGCCCATGCTCAGGGCTGACCCATCAGGCCATCCCCCTACCCCCCCCACCACAGGCCACCCCCTTCAGTCCCCTCCCTGCCATTTGCAGACCTGAGCCACATCACAGTGAGTCTGAAATCCTGCAAGGAGGCTCAGGAGGCTGGCTGGGGCCACCTCTGTTCTTGAACTGCACAATGGCTTAAGGGGCTAAGGGGCAGGCATGTCCCCACAGGGCTCTCTGAGCCAGGGATCTGTGACACACACAACTTGTCTCTGCGGACTGGGCTCTGCGCCTCCAGCCTGTTAGCTGAAGTCATCTCCCCTGCTGGACATGGGGCCTTCCAGCTGGACGATCCGCTTTAACGCTCACTCACTCAGCAGCGACGCCAGAACTGCTCCACGGGACCAGTTCTCTGGCAGGGGTTCCCCCAAGAATGTCAAGCAGGCCCTCTTGCCCAGCACGTGTGGTCACAAAGCCAAGTGACCACCAGATCCGTGCAAAGAGGAACTCCTTCCCTGCTCCTCAGCCTGAGCTCGAGAGACACAGTCTCTGATGACATGAGCCAGAGGCGCCCACTTTGGACAAAGGGGCCTGCCTGTCCCAAGTGGACCTTTACTCCCATGGGGCCAGCCCAGAGACCCCTTGTGCCAGGAGGGAGCAGAAACAGCAACAATGACCATAAAAGATGCCAGACCCCTCAGGCTCCCTCCAGAGAAGGCCACTGTCATTTCTGTCTTACACATAAGACCTGTCCTATCAGTACAAGGCCCTGCTCCAACTCCTCAGGGTGAGGCACAGTCCTGGACACCCGTCCATGAGCCCTTCCTCGTGGGAGGCTGAGCCTGCAGGGGCACCCAGGGCAGATTCTAGGGGGCAGGAAGCCTCTGACCAGATTGGGGGAGCGCAGCGAGACCACCACATGGGGCAGTTAGTGACAGCATTTATCTAAACTAAGGGCACACCCCTGGGACACGAGGCTCATCCCCTTTGGAATGTGCCTCTCTTCCAGCCAGGCTCCACACTTTCACAGCACTGCTGGATACACACTTCTAGAAACTTTTAAAACAGGTCTGGGGCTGCCAACTCAAGCGCTACAGGGCCAGAGGACCATGTAACTGAGAGGCCAGCTGGGGCGGGTGACAGGGCCCTGGTGAGGAACTTGGCCTGTCCCAGGGGCACTGGCTGCCACACAGGAACAGGGGCCAAAAATCCAGGATCTTATCTGAAATCAGTTTTAAAAACTGGCCACTAACATAAAAAATGTTGAGTACCACAGGACCAGACAAACTGGTGTTTACAAGCACTCCCTGATTTGCAACCCCAGGGCAGGGCAACGGCATCAAGCCAAGCCCTGTTTACCAATGTCTCCAGGAGGAAAGGCCAAGGCAGCCCCTCCCCAGGCCACCACGTGTGCAGGGGACTGAGGATCAAAGAAAAAGCAGAAACAAGCCGGGAGGCTGGGGACAGGCGCGTCTGTCTCAGGCTCCCTCTTCTCGGCCAGCTTGTTCAGCTCCGGGAGGTGAACGTGATCACACTGACAAGTGGCCAGCCGTCAGGGCTAAGACTCAAAGTCCACAGGTCTCCACAGCCCACTCCTGGACTGCTCCTCCTCACACACAAGGTGGGACCGAAGTGTCCTAACCCCAGCCCAGCTCTGCACAACCTCAGGCCTCTTCCGTGCAACTGAAGGAAGCCCAGGGCACTGCCCCTCTCCGACCACCCCCAGCACCTGCCCTGGGGCGGTGTGTGAAACGTCAGCTATGCCCCTGGTACCTGGGATGCCAGGGACCCAACATCAAGCACCACCTCTCACTTTGTGTTTTAAACAAGCTGCTACTCGTGCAGGCTACCCAGGAAGGTTCATTACATTTTCAGAACCTGCTAGTAAAAAAAAGAAAAAAAAAGACAGCCCTCCCCCAGTTCAAATGACAGAGCTTGGTGTTCTAAGAGTCTCATGAAACTCTCTGGCTGTCACTGCTACATGCCCAAAGCCACAAGTTTAAAACACCCTGAGAAACACCGCTCCTTCTCTGCGCAGCACAGATAACCTTAATACCTGGAACTATAAACAGCCACCAACTCCCCTCGTAAAGAACGCAGTTGGCGGGGCAAGGGCAGCCCCAGGCAGCGGGGGAGATGCAATCTGGCTCCTGCCCCTGGGGGCAGGCAGTTCCACTGGACCAGAGGGTCCTGGTTCTGCGGATTCCCTCTGGCTGTAGGGCAATCAAGTCTCCCTCGGGGGCAGGCCACTTCACAGGGCAGCCCAGCAGGCGGCCCCAAGGACTTTATTGCACCTTCCTCTGGGAAGCTGGAAGAACTTCTGGATTTCTGCGCCGGCTTCGGTTTTAACCTGTGTCTGAGAGGGGCAGGTGGGGGCTGGGGCACCGCCACACGGTGAGGAATCCCGTGAGCACGCGGTATATGCCCAGACCACCCGGGACAAGCGCTTCGGATGAGAGGCGTGGACAGGACCCTCAAGGGTATTCCTGTGGTGGAGCTGTTGGAACGGCCCA